AGTTTCGCATATCGCAGCCCCCCAGGGATGGCGAGGTCCCATTTGAGTCCGCCGCGGGTGCAGACTGTGCTGGGCCCCCCAGCAGCCCTCGAAAGTGGCGACAGTTTCACAGATCGCAGCCCCCAGCAGCCCTCGAAACGCAGCGACGAGCCAGGTAAAAGGCAAGGGGGAAGAGGGGGGCGGGATTCGCGCGAGGAGTGCTCTATTCAAAACGAAAGCCCAACGCAGGAGGGTTGGGAAAAAACGCAAGAGGCCTCCAAGAAATCCCCAAGAAGCCGCCAAGAGGCCTCAAAGAAGCCCCCACAAGACCACACAACGACTGGAGTGTACTAATATTTCCCCCCCTGGGCGAACTGCGGCGCAGCGCCAGCCAGGTGGAAGTTGGTCACGGCGGCGCCCATGATTAGAGCCGGCGCCGGAAGGGAAGATGGGGGAAGAGTGTGAAAAACAATTGGGGGAGAGGCCTCAAAAAAATCCCCAAGAGGCCCATAGAAGCTCCCAAGAGGCCTCCAAGAGGCCCCCAGGAGGCTCCCAAGAGGCCCCGCGACGACGTGACTGTACGTGCTCCGGACGTGCACCCCGCGAAGCGAGAGGAATCCACGTCCGGAAGTGACGTGCTGAGCGGCAGCGTTTTCTGCGGAGGCGATAATGCAACGTACCAAATGTATCCGAATGTTGCATACTTGCCACATATTGTACTGCGTTACATTATTATGTCTCTCCCCCTTAACCCCCCCCCCAGGGGCTACGCCACATCTGTCGACCCAAGATGGAGACCCCCATTTGGGGCTCAAAAACGTACCAACACCAAAATAAAATCTATGATTCGAGACTTTGGGCCCTCTAGGAGGCCCAATAGGGCCTTAAAGCGGCCCCATATGGCTTCAAGACGAGCCACGACGGCTCCAAAACGGCCCATGATGGCCCCAAAAGGGCTTAAGAAACTCAGAAGACGTCCCAAAAGGGCCCCAAGACGACCCCCCCAGAGTGCCTCCACAGGCCAAAATCATTAATTGTCCAACAGTTTTTTGCTGATTTTAACGTTCTCGCCTTTCTCGACTCTCAGAAGCTCATGGCCGCCCAAGCAGCCGCCAAAATTGTCCCAAAAAGACTAAAAAAGTCCCCCCAAGGACCCCGAACGGCCCAGGAGGGGCCCAAAGACTGCCCAAACAGGCCACCAAGACGGTCCAAAAAGCCCCTGAGACGGCCCAAGAGGACCCCAAGAGAACCCCAAGGCGGCCGCGGAAGGCCCCCAAGACGGCCTCCGAAAGGGCGGAACGGCGCAAAAACGCCCCAAGACGGCCCAAGACGCTCAAAAAAAAACCCAAGAGGCCTCCAAGAAATCCCCAAGAAGCCGCCAAGAGGCCTCAAAGAAGCCCCCACAAGGCCACACAACGACTGGAGCGTAATAGTATTCCCCCCCCCTGGGCGAACTGCGGCGCAGCGCCAGCCAGGTGGAAGTTGGTCACGGCGGCGCCCATGATTACAGCCGGCGCCGGAAGGGAAGATGGGGAGGGAGTATGAAAAGGACGGGGGGGAGGCCTCAAAGAAGTCCCCAAGAGGCCCAAAGAAGCTCCCAAGAGGCCTCCAGGAGGCCCCCAGGAGGCTCCCAAGAGGCCCCGCGACGACGTGACTGTACCTGCTCCGGACGTGCACCCCGCGAAGGGAGAGGAATCCACGTCCGGAAGTGACGTGTTGCCGGAGGCAGGTCCGCGGAGGCTGTAATGCAACGTATCCAATGTATCCAATGATTGCATACTTGCTACATATTGTATTGTGTTACATTATTATGTGCCCCCCCAGCCCCCCCCAGGGGCCACACCACTTCCACCGACCCAAAGTGGCCCCTCCCTACTGCGCCTCAAAAACCAACCAAAACCAATAGAAAATCAATGAGTTGGGCCTGTTGGCCCTCTTGGGGCCCAACAAGGCCTCAAGACGGCTCGAGATGGCCCCAAGACGGCCAAAGATGGCCCCAAGAGGCCCTACAAAGACCCCAGGACGGCCCAAGACGGCCCCCAGAGGACCCCCAAGAGCACCTCCAGAAGCCACACACCATTGATTTTTTCATTGAATTTTTGAAGATTTCAGCGTTCCCGCCTATTTCGACTCTAAGAGGTCCGGGACGGCCGAAACAGCCTCCGAAGTGGCCCCCAGACGGCCCAAGAAGCCTTCAAGAGGGCCCGACAACCGACCCAAGAGGGCCCCCAGACAGCCCCAAGAGGCCCCCAAGACGGCCCAAGAGTACCCCAAGACAGTCTCCGAAGGGACCAGACAGCGCAAGAGCGCCTCCAAGACGACCCCCCGAGGACCCCCAAGAGCACCTCCAGAAGCCACAAACAATAATTTTCACACGGATTTTTTTAAAGATTTCAGCGTTCCCGCCTATTTCGACTCTAAGAGGTCTGGGACGGCCGAAACAGCCTCCGAAGTGGCCCCCAGACAGCCCAAGAAGCCCCCAAGAGGGCCCGAAAACTGCCCAAGAGGGCCCGCAGACAGCCCAAAGAGGCCGCCGAGATGCCCCAAGAGGCCCCCAAGACGGCCCAAGAATATCCCAAGGCAGTCTCCGAAGGGACCCGACAGCGCAAGAGCGCCCCCAAGACGCCCACACGGGGCCCCAAGAGGCCTCCCAGAGGCCCCCAAGAGGCATCTCAGACGCCCCCGCGAGGATCCAAGAGGCCCCAAAGAGGCCTCCAAGGGCCCCCCAAAAAATTCCCAAAGGCCCGACAACGACTGGACTGTACGTGCTCCGGACGTGTACCCCGCGAAGCGAGAGGAATCCACGTCCAGAGGTGACGTGTTGCCGGAGGCAGGTCCGCGGAGGCTATAATGCAACGTATCCAATGTATCCAATGATTGCATAATTGCTACATATTGTATTGTGTTACCCTATTATGTGCCCCCCTAACCCCCCCAAGGGGCCACGCCACTTCCGCCGACCCAAAGTGGCCCCTCCCTCCTGCGCCTCAAAAACCTACCAAAACCAATAGAAAATCAATGAGTTGGGCCTGTTGGCCCTCTTGGGGCCCAACAAGGCCTCAAGACGGCTCGAGATGGCCCCAAGACGGCCCAAGATGGCCCCAAGACGGCCCAAGATGGCCCCAAGACGGCCCAAGATGGCCCCAAGAGGGCCTACAAAGACCCCAAGACGCCCCAAGAGGGCCACCAGAGGACCCCCAAGAGCACCTCCAGAAGCCAAAAACAATTGATTTCCTAATGGTTTGAAAAGATTTCAGCGTTCCCGCCTATTTCCACTCTCAGAAGTCCAGGACGGCCGAAACAGCCTCCGAAGTGGCCCCAGACGGCCCAAGAAGCCTTCAGGAGGGCCCCAAAACGGCCCAAGAGGGCCCCCAGACAGCCCCAAGAGGCCCCCAAGACGGCCCAAGAGTACCCCAAGACAGTCTCCGAAGGGACCAGACAGCGCAAGAGCGCCTCCAAGACGGCCCCCAGAGGACCCCCAAGAGCACCTCCAGAAGCCACAAACCATTGATTTGTTCATTGAATTTTTGAAGATTTCAGCGTTCCCGCCTATTTCGACTCTAAGAGGTCCGGGACGGCCGAAACAGCCTCCGAAGTGGCCCCCAGACGGCCCAAGAAGCCTTCAAGAGGGCCCGAAAACGACCCAAGAGGGCCCCCAGACAGCCCCAAGAGGCCCCCAAGACGGTCCAAGAGTACCCCAAGACAGTCCCCGAAGGGACCAGACAGCGCAAGAGCGCCTCCAAGACGGCCCCTAGAGGACCCCCAAGAGCACCTCCAGACGCCACAAACCATTGATTCTTTCATTGATTTTTTGAAGATTTCAGCGTTCCCGCCTATTTCGACTCTAAGAAGTCCGGGACGGCCGAAACAGCCTCCGAAGTGGCCCCCAGACAGCCCAAGAAGGCCCCAAGAAGGCCCGAAAACGGCCCAAGAGGGCCCCCCGACAGCCCAAACAGGCCGCCGAGATGCCACAAGAGGCTCTCAAGACGGCCCAAGAGTATCCCAAGGCAGTCTCCGAAGGGACCCGACAGCGCAAGAGCGCCCCCAAGACGCCCACACGGGGCTCCGAGAGGCCTCAAGAGGCCCCCCAGAGGCCCCCAAGAGGCCTCCCAGACGCCCCCGCGAGGACCCAAGGCCCCAACGATGCCTCCAAGGGGCCCCCAAGAAGTTCCCAGAGGCCCGACAACGACTGGACTGTACGCGCTCCGGACGTGCACCCCGCGAAGCGAGAGGAATCTCCGCCAGAAATGTTCTCGGAACATTTCGTGCAGACCACAGAAAGCTCGTAGAACATGCTTGGGCGGGGCTATAGGCAAGCCAAGACGCTTCGCCACTACTCGAGCACTGCAAAATCCTGCAACATCCGACGCTCTGGCCGAGTCTCGTCTGCGGTGACCCCCGCTGCCTGCTAGCTGGTCTCTGCCGTGTTCTGCTACCTGGTGCCCGGGCCCCTCGGGTAGGGGCAGCCTGGGCGAGAGCGGGGCAGACGCGGGCACGATCTGTACAATATCTTCGCCACCGCGTCTTGGAATTTTAGATCCACTGCGCCTCGGCCATTTGGGCGCGCTGTCCCAGGACATCCCAAACACGGCGGATATGGACATTAAGCGTGCCCGTAACTTACCATACCTCGGACGTCCATTCCCCGTGCATGTGTCGGTTTCGCGCGTGCTTGTTTTGCCAGATGAAGACGCTCCTCTACGGCATGTTTGCGTCGTGTCGACCCCCGCGTTGGTTCCTGACACCGCGGGGGTCGTTCAAACTTGAACGATCGGCCCTTCCAAAAAGGCCAGATCGTTCAAGGATTGGCCAATTCTGGGCCTCACGCGGCGTTCAACCTTACACGATGGAGCTGGGGTCGCCGCCGGTCGACACGACGCGAACCTGCTCCATGGTCCTATCCGGAAAAAAAATGCGCACGTCCGAGCGATAGCAGGGCAAGCGGGGCAGCGAGTGCACAGCTCCCCGCGGACGCGCGCCCCTCGCGCAAGGCCCGCGTGCGGGCGGGGCGCTTCTCTGGCCTTGCTGCCGATGATCGGCAGGCCGTAGAGCAGTGCCTGGCACAGCTTGCCCTTCACGCCAGCACCTGGGCGCGCGGGCGAGGGGGAGAGAAGGAGGAGGAGGAAAAGGGGGAGATCAGTGTGCTCCTGGAGAGGTCTTCGCGGGAAAATCGAGGGCTGGTGAGACCGATTGGAGGACTCTGACAGAGGTCTCAGCCGAGCTGGGCCCAGGATTGAGCCGCATGGAGCGGGATCGGGCCCAATCTCGACCACAGATGTACCAGCGCCAATGCTGACTTCACCATCACATGACTCGCAACCTGGGCAAGCGTGGAGGGGAGGGAATGGGTTCGGGCACTGAGAATCGAAGGTTTTGGACGCTTCAATTCCTTCCTGAAGCCGCAGAAGGCACGGAACCTCGTGAGGCCCAGACCTCAACGTCTTGGGGGGGGGCATGATGACGGCACTGTCGATCGGAATCCCTGTCAACACATTTCTACTCCCCGCATACTTGCTTCACGTAATGTTTGTCTAGCCTGAAGCGTTTCAGGATGTTAGCTCTAAGACTCGTAGTTCCAAGCGTGCGGCCAACGAATCCGACACGGGCGGAACGGCATCACTTGCGTCGTCCCGCGTTCGCCTCGGAGAGCGAAGGGCTCCAGCTACTCGAGCACGAAAACGTCAGCGCTCAACAGACACCCTGGCCCAGCTCGCGCAGAAACGGGCGAACCGCACCATGAACAGGAAAGCCCCGAAAGCAATTTGAGACTCTTCGGTGTCGGCACACCTCGAAAAACAGAAAACTCCTGAGCGCCGCTACCCTTGGTACCGCATTCAAGGTAGCAAGGGCATCACTGCCAGCAACCGACAGTGCGCCCCAAGGTATGTTGCCAGCCGCCTGTTTGACGTACGTGTTTTGCTGAAGTTGCTGTGGTAGTAGGTTGGATTCGCCTTGATGACGAAAGCTGGGAGACCACACGGCATCGCACGAGAGCACGACCGGAGGCCGCGCTCCAGCGGCACCCCGTGCAGGAGTGGGGCCAGGCGCGGAGGCTCGCCAGAGACAGGCTGCTGGGCACCGTCGACTCCGGATCGGCGCCGCTGGTCGCGCAGCCGGCCGCCTACTGGGTGCCGGCGCGCATTCGTGACCCACTCTTACAACGCGTTCCTCACCGCTGGCGTGGAAGGCCGAGGCAGAGATGGACTGACTGGTTGCCCCTGCTGCCTCTCGCTCTTCCCCTTTCCCCCCCTCCCCCCCCTCCCTTCCTCCCTCTCCCCGGCGAAACGGCGCCGGCGCTGTCTGTCCAAGCAAACCACGGCGCCGCTGCTGCGATGTTTCCGGGATTGTTCCGGGTATTCCAAGGGAATTATCGCCGTGCATGTTGTTCCCCGTGGGAGAAAAATCTCAATTCACGGCCGATCGGGCGTTGCGTTGCGTAGCAGTCCATGAATGAAACCATCGCGCATGTAATGCTTCTGTGTCGGAGCCAATGAGTCATACGCATCGCAAGAAGGCTGTCGTAAAACACATGAGCTGATGATGCGTTCCTTGTTACTTATTCGGGGTACTCCCCAGCAGGTCTGATCAGCCTGCTGGCGTTGAGGGTGAGGTGTGCGTCAAGAATCTCCTTCTCCATTCCTCGTCTCTCACTTGTCGCGCTCACCCTCCGCTGAACTCTGCCCCCGCTTTGTCGCCAGAGCGCGGCACGGCGGCGCGTGAGACGAGAACCGCCGCATAGCTCAAGACACCCAAGGCAAGGTCATGGGGACGTACAGTCGCCCGAAACCAGACCACTCCGCCCATGGACTGCCACTATCACCACGGCTTACGTCGGCTACAAGCATAGACGCCATGTGCAAATTGCCCACCAGGGGGAAAAAAAGACTCCACACTCCTCGCCCAACACAAACGGGCACCCTGACAAAGGACCACCCTTATTGCCGGCTGCAGCCGCGCCGGGGACCTGGTCCCATTCGAGCGAAGAACCTGGCCCCCTCTCATATGACAAGGAGAGGGCTGAGGTCAAGTGTGAGGAGAACGAGCACGAGAAGGTGTGGGAGCGATGGGACATGGGCCCAATGCAAAACTCAAGAAGCAGATGCAACACCGTGCCACGAGGCGCAGAGTGGAGTTTCCTCGGGTTCGTCGAACCTCCTCCAAGCAAACCTGTAGAATGATACCCAGCGTGGACCCCACGCAACAAGTATTGCAGGGTGGCTATGTAAGATCTGTAGTGCAAGCTATGCGTTGCAAGCTACGTAGCTACGTTGTGTAAGCTATGTGGTGCAAGTAGCTGTCGTGAAGAGGGAACTGTCAACTCCACTGCTCACACAAACACCACCCGCAACTTGTTTTGCTAAACCCATGCGACCACGCTTACAGATGACTGGCGCTGCGCATCTCTGCGAATCGCTGTGGCCGCGCTGGCGGATTTAGCTGGTGCGTCTCTGCGACCGCGCTGGCGCGCGAACGCTTGCGAGCAGAGCGGCCAATTGGCTTTGCACTGTCGCAACCGATGCGACCGCGATGGCGCTTGCCGATGGGACCTTATCTGCGCGTCTCAGACTGGCGCGCAGGCGCCGCAGTGCGGATCGGTGACTCGATCGGGAGCGGTGCCATGACGTCGACAACGGCGGCACCAATGATGGTAGTAGTGATGGTGCCGATGACGACGGCAAGGCGAATGACGGCGCCGATGCTCGTGACGACAATGACGATGATGATGACCATGTGTCAGTGATGAAAGTGACTGACTGGTGACAGCGGCACTGGTGGCGATTCACGCTGACGATAACGGCTGCGCTCGCGCTGTTGAGCGTCATGGTGAAGAAGTGCGCACGCGCAGAATTTCAAGAATCCTGGCAACCTTTCTTCGGGGGCGGCCAAGAGAGTGGTGTCCAAGAGAGGGGGGGCGCAAATCATGGCCGGCGGCATGTGCGCGGCCCAGGGGGGGGGGGCCGGGGACATCTTGAAATAAGAAGAGGCGCCATGAAATCTGGGGAGATCTCATGGCCCCCGCAATGATATCCACACACCCCTAGTCATCACCCCCCTCTTGGCCGCTCCCGATACTTGTTTGGGGATCAATGTCTTGGAGTGCTTCGAAAACCAACAATTTTGGTAAAATCTCGACGCGCGCGCGGGCGGCGATGCGTGCGTGGCCCGCATGGAAAGATTCGATCCGGATCCGTGTACTGGGCACAGGCCGCAGGCGCGTCAACGCGGATGCGCTGCGCGGTGAAAGAAGAATGCGGTTGCTGTGGAAGAGGAAAAACGTCATAAACATAAACGTTTGGCGCTCCGCACGGATTTCTTGGATCTGCGCTGGGACACCCAGGCGGCGCCTCCGGCGCCGCCCATGGCGCGCTCCGCGCGCCAGGAAGGGGGGCCAGCGCAGATCCAAGAAATCCGTGCGGAGCGCCAGAAGTTTACGTTTATGGCATTTTTTCTTATTCGATGCTGGGCGACGTTGCTGGAATTCGCCAGCCAACGGGCTGGCGTGCTACAAGCTCCGTTAAGAGTTTCAGGAGGTTTCTAGTTCGCGCGCGCGTGGCCGCCCCTGGGAGTCCCCCGACGATCAGTGCCCCGGCAAAGTCCCTGCTGGAACTCCTGGGCGCAGCCCGAGGGCCCCCCAGAGCATCCCAGGAGCGCCCCAAGGAGGCGACAAATAGGTGGCAGGCCCCACGGCCTCGGGCCAAGCGCGCTGCAATATGACCCAAGTTTGTCTCAAGACGGCCCGAGACGGGCCCAAGACGGACTGGGAGGGCTCCAAGAGGACCCCAAGGGGGCCCGAAGAGGCAACATTCATTGGTTTTGCTTTGGTCTTTGGCAGATTTTGGCGTAGCCTCCGACCGCCCAGAACGGCCAAAGAGGCCTCCAAGGTCGCCCGAAGTCAGCCCAAGAGGCTCCCAGGACGGCCCAAGACTCTTGGGCCCCAAGACGGCCCAAGACCTCCCCAGAGGCCTCAAGAGGCTGCCATGAGGGCCACAAGAGGGGAAACGGACATATCCAGCCTTCCCCAAAGTTGGTCCCCGAGACCGCCAGCAGGCCCCCAAGAAGCCCTCAAGAGGCCCCCAGAAACCCAGAAGGATGCCCCACGCGGCCTCCAAGAGGCTACAGGAGGTCCCAAAAACGCCGCCAAGAGGCCCCCGAGAAGCCTTCCAAGAGACCCCCAGAAGCCTTCCAAAAAAGCGTCTTGTCCGCGACCCAATTTAGTCCCCACAGCTCCACAAGAAGCCGTCGAAAGGCCTCCTCCTCCTGCCCTTTCGAGTCACCTATATCCTCCTTCTCGCCCGCCATGGGCACACCAACATACAGCAACAATGGTGCGCTATGGGCGGGCGGAATGAGCGAACCTGTCGAATTTGGCGCCCCCCCCTGCGGACCCTGGCCGTGTTGCAGGCTCCGAGGGTAGCAAATGAAAGGGAGGATGGTGGAGGAGAGTGAGATGGCATGCGGAAGGCATGCTAAGAGCGGCCTCGCCCAGTCCGCCAGCCACCGCAGGCCAGGACTGCAGCATCTCTCCTGGGACACGTAAAAATACTAGTGAAATGCGCCTCCAAGGTTAAGCCTATGTGTGTGTGTGTGTATGTGACATGTCCTGCGGCACGTAAAATGTATAACTGGTCTGCGCCCCCAAAGCCACGAACGTCTCGATTCGGCAGGCCCCTTATGCATTCTTTCCCCATACAACATTGAGACACGTAAACATTATTTTAATGTGCGCCCCCAGGGCTACGAAAGTCTCGACTCGGCACGCCCCTCATGCATGTCCTGCCTCATACTCTCTTGGGGCACGTAAACATACTTGTGATGTGCGCACCCACGGCTATGAAAACTTCGAATCGGCACACCCCTCACGTAGTTCCTGCCTCACTCTCTCCTCTCCTAAAACACGTGAAAATACGCGCGATCTGCGCTCCGAAGCCGTTCGACCCCCCAGGGGACGCCAACAAGGCCCCAAGAAACATTGCAACAATTAGTGCCGACCCTCGTCGAGGCAATACTCGCAACACCCACTGATGGCAACATATGCGTGCAAACTTCCCCCTGGGGGACCCGCCGTGACTCTCGCTCTGCGGGCTC